TTGTGATGATATCTTCAATTCTCTAATTAATTTATTTTGGTGAATATTTTTGTAATTTTTTGGTAAAAAGTGATATTTTCGACTTCTTGTTAAAAACTGTAAGTCCGATTGCTTTGATACTATTCATATTGTTCATTTTCTAATGATGTCTTCAGTTCTTTAATTGAAATGTGCATTGCTAACAGCGGAGCTATCTCAGCCGATAGGCTGCTTGTTAAAATTTAGAATTTTTTATGTATTTTTTATTTTATTTTAAATTTTTTTCTGCCCAATTGCATGGATACAACTAATAGGAATCAGTGAGTGGACTAATTTGCATAATGTTGCGCATGCGTATTCTATTTTTTAAGACCAACAATTTATGATGGTGTCAGCCATTTTGTTATTTCCAGTGTGTTGTACAAAAACGAAGCAAACGCCCGGCAGATGACATGTATCAGTTTACATTATGAAAAGGTCTAAGAAATTACATGTATGATTTTTTATTATCGTATATAAATAAATAAGTAATTGAACAAATATATAACCTCAATGACTGTGAAACGAATTACTGTGCAAGCTAGTTTACATTCACGTGTGGTGTACAATTACATTCAAGCCACGGAACATTGAAACCTGTGTGAGCCCAGTCAAGAAAATAATGAATGTGAGATTCATCCTCGCCAAAACCATGGCAGTGTTGAAGATATGAAAATGGTTGGTAGGTTCGAATTTCATGGTAAAATGTTGTGTAAATTCTTTGTACTTGTGAATCCTGATTTATCACCGTATTATTGAACGCGAGAACAAATATGGTGACCTCCAGCATCAATGTAGTTGTATCAAGTCGCTGCCGTAAGGAGATATTTCCTTTGTATCGCTTACCAACATTGTATTGTATTTCTTTCCTTTATTTTCCTTTACACATATGGAAACTTGCATGGTGCACTTTCACCCCCACCCTCCCCAAATGACGAAGCTATCAAGTTGATTAGTAGGTATGGGATGTTAATGTGTGTTGATGACTACTGCGTTGTGTAAGGTTCTCTCGTACATAAAATGGGGCACATTCCCAGTAAAAATATCTATTTACACAGAGCTGACAAAATTCGCCTACATGTGTAAATATATGTTGGGATTTTGAGAGAAAAAAACTCGTAAAACGTACTGAATTTACCGTGACAGCTGCATGTGATCAATTTTGGTGCCGATTGTTGGTGTGCTGATCAGCATGTCGGATTATTTCTGAGAACGTTCTTCGTATGGGAAATCACAAAATCATTAGCTCTAAGTAGGTTGGTTCACCTTATTTTTGTGTCAGAGTACCCTGTACAAATGAAATGAATCGACATGCGATGATTACCAAAACAATTTGACAATCGGTGTCTCATTTGTTCACCGCCCCCTCAACATGGTGATTTGTTACGATCATGGACGTACGTCCATGTTATGATCGACGGTGATTTGTTATGAGGGGTATTTTTTCCCCGGCCTTTTTCGTCGGAAATTACGAATTCCTTGGCTCTAATATATCCTAATTTACTTTAGTTGTTTCATCCGAGTATTCTGTACATTGATTTTACCTAGCAAAGGAAACAATCGGTGTCTGGCTTTGTTATATTTACACTTACAAATCGGAAGGCACATTTATTGCTCGAGTTACTGTTCCTATTAAGTTAAGCCATGGAGCAAAAAAGAAAATATGGTTAAGCTGAATACCATGCTTCATGTGTAATGTATAGACCGTGATGTCGGCATTAACTACTGAATGCACAATGGAAACTACTGGGGTAATGCCACGCTGACCGG